TTTATTTTAATATAAAAATAAAAAATATTTATTAATAAAATTAAAAACTTTTATATAAGACAAAAATTTTAATTTTTACTGTTTTGTTAATAAAATTGCACATATAATTTCATAATTCTATTAATCACTATATGATTTTTAATTAATTTTATTTTTAATTAATAATATGATTTTCAATTAATCTATAATATTATGTATCTTTTTGTTTATTTATTATAAAAATCAATAATAATAATGAAATTTTCAATATTTGAAATATTATGTGTGTTATTTTTGATTGGCTGGATTTCATTATGTAAAATTCTAATTAATATTGCATATAATAACTTATTTGAAAATGATAATTTTTCAAAAAATTCAGCAATGGCGCAGTATTTGATACAAGTAATTTAATCTTTAATTCAATAATATAAGGCATTGTTATTATATCATGCGCATATTGAGAAAATTTTGCGCAGATAGATTATTTTGAAATTATCTGCCAAAATTATCTTCGTTATCGTTATAGGGTCAAAAGCCGGTGTCACGTGAAACGGGCATAATAAATGACCATTCTAGTCAAGGTTTGGTGACGTAATAACAAGCAGAACAAAGGGATCTCATTTTTTTCTGCCTTGATGCTTTTCAATATATCAGCGAAAAATAACACGCGTAATCATATTACTATATATATAATAAAATTTAAAAACATATCGGCTTGTATCAAGAATTTGCGTGTGTCTAATAAAAGACAAACGTAGAAATTTCTCGACTTTTATATAATTTATTCTAGATCTTTTCTTTGATCATTTAACCACCCGCATTGTCTTCTATCCGGCCACTTCATGTTTTGTAAATCACTTGAAAAAAGACAACATCAATCTCAGCAGCGTCAGCATCTTTATAGAAAACGTTTAATACAGAAGCACAAACGTAAGAAGTTGATGACTTAAATAGTTTTCTCAAATAGTAGAAAAGTAGGGATAAGTGAGCAAAGCGACCAAGCAAAATATTATAACAAAATAATTATCTTTAACAAAACGACGTCGAGTTTCTTTTGTATCACTACTATTACTTTATTGCAAATAATTGTTGAGCTTTCTTTATTGGGGAAAATCCGTTTTCGACCCTTTTTAAGCTTTTACTTGGACAACAATCACATTTTTTGAAAACGTATCTACCAGACTATTTCACATCCTGAGAATCTTTATCTGCAATCATGGATACCCTCAATATCGGTGGCAATGAAAAGGACCGATTTTATCGGTATAAAATGCCAAAACTTATCTCAAAGGTAAAAAATAAGATGATTAGATGATTTTTATTGTTTGATTTATAATAATGAAATTCGATTAGTCTCTTTGCATTAATTGTTATTTTTAATATATATAGATCGAAGGGAAAGGCAATGGAATCAAGACCGTTATCCCCAATATGTCAGACATCGCTCGTTCTCTTGGGCGTCCGCCAACTTGTAAATATATTAATAATATACTTATTTAAATACTTTAAATTGGTTCATTAACACATATTTTCTTCTATTGAATTCTTTTGAATCAAAAAGATCCCACCAAATTCTTTGGGTGTGAACTTGGTGCTCAAGTAAAGTGCGATGAAAAAACCGATCGTTACATTGTCAATGGTGCCCACGAAGCTGCGAGACTGCAAGAACTATTAGACGGATTCATCAAGAAATTCGTTCTGTGTGCCGGTTGTCAAAATCCCGAAACCGATTTGGTAAGTGAAGCTAATTCGAAATTTTTTTTTAATAGAATTTGATCACTTACCTTTTATTTACACTAATTTAGATAATCAGCAAGAATCAAAAAATTATTCGTGATTGCAAAGCTTGTGGTCAAAGAACTGATATTGATATGCGTCATAAATTAGTTACTTTTATTCTAAAAAACCCTCCAACTCCCCCCAAAGGAAAAGGTGGTAAAAAGGACAAAAAAGCTGCCAGTAAGAAAAATGGTAACGGCGAACCTGATAGTCCTAAAGATGAAGGAGGTTCTGAAGAAGGTTCTCAAGATGAACTTACACGATCCATCAACACTGCTGCAGCCGAACTACCCACTGCCGATCCCAATTGTGATGACGATGATTGGGCTGTTGACACTTCTCCAGAAGCTGTTCGCGATCGGATTAAAGATTTAGAGAAAGGTATTAAAGTTGTGGCTATTAATGACGAAGATGAGGAGGACGATGACGACGAAACACCTGACGGTAGAGATCCTCATGAGCAGCTTGCTGATTGGTTGGAAAAAAACAAAAGTCTGGGCACCAAAGAAATTTATAAGAAAACAAAAGAACTGGGTATTACTAAAGAAAGCAGTAAAATCTTGCAAGTACTTGTTTTGGGTCTCTTTGATGAGAATTTCCGCAAGGATACTGTGATCGACAAACAAATTCGCAAAAGAGCTAAATTGTTTCAAAAGGTATATTTCTCTTATTGCCTATTTAATGTTGTAAATAGTGCATTGATTCTAAGACTAATAATTATTTATTTATTTAGTTCATACAAAACCACGACGATCAACGTAATCTCTTAGGGGCTACCGAATATCTTGTTGGCGTGAAATACGAAGAATTATTGGAAAGCAAGATTATATGCAAAATCTTGATGGAGTATTACCAAAATGAATTGATCGAAGAGGATGTATTTCAAATCTGGCTCGAAGGAAATGAATCGCCAAAGTATAAAAAATTATTCAAACAAACAGCTAATATCGATTATGTCGATCCTCAAGTCAATAGAGATATTCGTAATAAAGCCAAACCATTCGCTAAATGGTTGGAAGAGGCTGAAGAGGATGATGACGACGATGACGATGAATAATAATTCTTTTATATATTTAACACATGAATTTTATACTCTAGATTTATTAGGTTATCTTTAATCTTACTTATTATCTATATCTTTTGTCAATATTTTCTAAATAGTTATTAATGAATATGAATTTATACATCTATTACAAAATTTAACTAATAAAATAAATTTTCAATTTATTAAATACTAAGTAACAATCAGAAATGCAATGCGAACTTCTAATTAATGATTGTATTTCCCCCTCACCTTCCCTGCGCAACCAATAAAAATGCGCAAATTTTTGATCAGCTCGGCAAAAAACATGGGAAACAGATTAATTGACAACATTGATCTATCGTTATGTACAATCCATTTTAGTTAGACGCATTTTTGTGCATGTTTTCACTGTATCACTTGATATGCTTATGTGTTACAAACACACAGTGTTGGAAAATGACTCATAAAAATTTTTATGAAATAATATTATGTTCGTTTTAAATGACAAATAAATGATATATTATGTGACTGAATTAGATACAAAAATAGCTTGTTATATAACACATTGTTATTTATTTTTAAATGACAAAGTATTAACACTGCAAACACATAACATGATTTTTGTTTTTAACTTAATACAATTAAATTTATATATATACATCTATAATAAATTACTGGAAATCCATAATAAAATTTCTTTATAATGAAATTTTTATTTTTATTAGTAAATATTTTTTGTTTTTATATCAAAATAAAGCTAAGAATCTATATTTTAACATAGATTTTTTATAAATTTTTTAAATTTAATTTCAGGAATATTTCAGATTGTAAAAATGATTACACAAACTTTTTATAATTAAAAATTAAAAATTATTAAATTTTAATTATCTCTTAAATTATCTAATATACAAAATTGTATGCAAAAATATTTTGTCTTATATTTTTGGTTGTATTTATAATTTTCAATTTTCTTATTTTAAAGATCAAAATTCTACAACTAATTATTTTTATATATAATAGATTTATTTCTGTTTTAGTTATTGTTAGTATAAGTATTTTTTATTATAATAAGACAGTTTAAAAAATAAAAAATTTGTATAATTATTTTTTATAATTCAAAATATTCCTGAAATTAAATTTAAAAATTTATAAAAAATATATATTAAAATACAAGTACATACTTCTATACTATATTACTGAAAATTGAAAAAAAATATAGTAAAATATAGTAAAATTAACATTATTGCTTTATATTAAAATTTGTTATTTTATTAATAAATATTTTTTATTTTTATAC